AAATAGAAATAGAAATGTTTATTGGTGAAGTGTGATAAGACACACAAGGAATTTGTCTCCAGTGCACCAAATCACAGTGTACATATAAACAGCAAATAATAGGTCATAATAATAGTTACAATCATTAGTTACAAACAACAATTGATAAGTCATAAAGAACCAGTAGGACAAGATGAAAAATAGATGGGGATATCCAACCTAGTACTGCATTTCTCTTTGACCATTTTTTACTGTCTTTCTTCTCCGTTTTATTTTTATTTTGTTACCAACTGAAATGTTTCATGGACTTTTTATAACAAGGTTAGAGGTTATATTATATTACATATATATTATTTTCATTAGCAAACCATTTCACAATATATATAATTACATATTCTTTTTGTGATTAATCACTATGCTTTAATTATGTTCAATTTGTAATAATGAAAATACATCCTGCATATCAGATATTTACATTACGATTCATAACAGTAGCAAAATTACAGTTATGAAGTAGCAACAAAAATAATTTTATGGTTGGGGGTTACCACAACATGAGGAACTGTATTAAAGGGTCGTGGCATTGGGAAGGTTGAGAACCACTGCTCTAAGAAACTAGGACATAGATCCTTTCCCAATTACTAAGGTCATAAATTCTGTCACAGTTGAACTACCCAAGACAGTTAGACAAGTACATCCAGTGTTCCATTGTAGCTTACTCAAACCAGAGGTCACCTCTACCATGAGACCACCTAAACCCACACCTCCAGTCCCCATTATGGTTGAAGGAGAACACTTTGAGATTAAGGAAATCCTGGACTCACACACATCATGGCTCCACACAGTATTTGGTAGCATGGAAACATTTGCCACCATCTCAAAAAGAGTGGATGGCTAAGAAACACATAAAAGCCCCCATACTCTTAAGGAAATTCCACCTGAAATACCCAACCAAACTGTCTTAATTTATACATGTTTTCCTTGTTTCTTTCCAGGTGGATTATCCTTTTTTCTAAGGAGGGAAGTATCTCAAATTCATGTATCTGCTATTCTTCCAGGGAAGGGAAGTCTTTTTAATTACTACTTTAATTACTGTATTCTATTTCATATATCCTGTATCCTGCAATGTATTGGTTTATAGCTTTTAGCTTGGTGTCTAAGTGCCCTGGCATTTTCGCACCTTTTGGAGAATGTAAGGGGAAGGACGGTGGAAGGATGATCCTGAGAAAGTTCCCTTATCACTTTCTCAGAGAGACCGGTACAGGTTCTTTTTGAAATGCTAAGTTTCAAGAATCTTTACTTTCTTGAATGAGGGGGAGAGGCCAAGCCTTACAACATGGCAACACGGCTCAGGTTTGCATCTGAACAAAACATAAGATTTCTAGAACACTGTCCTTTGGCCAGACAAGATCAAAATGTAGATGTCTGGCCATAATGCATGGCCAAACAACATGGCAATGTTTTGGTGAAAACCAAACACAGCATATCTGCACAAACATCTCATACCAACTGTCAAACATGGTGTTGGAGAGATGATTTGGGCTTATTTTGCCACCATCTTGCAGTCATTGAATCAACCATAAACTGTATACCAAACTATTCTAGAGTTAAATGTGAGGTCATCTGTCCGACAGCTAAAACTTGGCTGACACTGGACCATGCAGTATGACGATCCAAAGCACACCAGCAAATCTATAACAGAATAGCTAAAAAAGAAAAGAACCAAGGTATTGCCCAGTCAAAGTCCAGACCTCAATTTGATTTAAATGCTGTGGCAGGACCTCAAGAGAGTTGTGGATAAACAAATGAACTAAAGCAATGTTGTAAAGAAGAGTAGGTCAAAATTTCTCCACAACAGTGTAAGAGACATACAGTCATGATTATTTCAAGTTATTACTGCTAAAAATGGTTCTGCAAGCTACTGGTGTACTTAGTTTTTCACACATGGCTTCTCCACTTGGGCTTTCTTTTTGTAAAATAAATGATGATAGTGTAATATATCATGTGTTGATGTTCATTTAAAGTTACATTTGCATACTTTTAAAACTGCTAAGGAACAGATGATTTTTTTATTATGTTTTGATACATAAAACTATAGCACTCTTTTTCACATGACTGTACTTTATCAGGATTGTATTCCTATTCGAGCCCAGCTCATTGTTAGCTAACATTTTGCAAGAGAAATGCACTTTTATCATCTAGATATTAGTAAAACTGCTGATGTTGCAGTTATTTATTGAAATAAGAACCATCTGCTCTTTGGACCAGGAGGCTGTGAGGACAATAACTCATTACATCATATCAGACACTGCAATACACTACGTGGGGCTGCCTTCAAATATGACATAGAAGCTGCAGCTGGTCCAGAACATAGTAGTCTTTCTGCTAATTAGTAGTAAAAGACTTAACATTGGTTACTGATTTTTCAGGTCCAATTCAAAATTTTGGAGGCCTTATGAAACTGTAACCTTCAGCAAATTTCAATCAACCTTCCTTATATGCTCCTTCTTGGGAAATGATGCTGAAGGTATGCACGTACATTTTACTATATTATAGTTTAGTTTATAGAAAACTGCCCAACACATATCCAATAGGCAGTGTCCAAATGTTTATAAAAACAAACATAATACCGTGTTTCCCCGAAAATAAGACAGGGCCTTACTTTCTTTTGACCCCCAAAATATTGATTGGGTCTTATTATTGGGGGGTATTGTTTTAGGGTTGCTGGGTGGCTGCTCTCTTGCGAGCGGGCACCTGAAGGGGCAAATGGCTGTGTTGCGCTGTCGCAACACAATAGCAGTGCAACATACTAGCCATGAGGTGACCACACTCACAAGCCGCCACCCAGCAACCCCCCTTTCCAGCCAGGCAGAGCGCAACTCACGGACCCAGTGATATCCCAAAGGTGCTAAGCCGCATGGTGCTCTGCCCTCCCCTCAGCTCCCACGGCTTGATGCATTCGGGATAACCTTAGGTCAGTGCATGGTATGGTCTAATATAGGTCATAACTGACTTTTTCAGAGGCTATTGTTAATTTGAATCATTGTTTAGCAAACAAAGTCAAGGACAGCTTGTAATTGCTGAAAATAATTTTAAAAACCAAAATACTGACTGGGGATCCAGGTTTAAATGCTCTAAACAGGATTCCTTAGATAGAGAGAGCCAGTTTGGTTTAGTGGTTAAGACAGAATTCTAATTCCACTGGATTGCTGCCTGGATGACTTTGGATCTTTCCCTATGACATCAGGCTCAGGTGACAAAATGATTGTCAATTCCTGTCTCTACCAATGGATCAACACTCATTTGATCCAAAAAAGTAGATCCTGCACTTGCAGGAAAACACTCGGAAGAAGAAAAAATTCTATAGAGTTTTCAAAAGTTAGCTTCAATTCATCAAATAAAAAACAATTATTTGAATTTAATTTTTGAACACAGGTTTTTATGCTAGACCTTTCACTTTATATTCTAGGCCAAAATACTTTTGTATTTTTCCTTATATTATCATTTCTCCAAAGGACTCTAGAGTTCCAGGTATACAGACTTAGAGATTTTGTTTCTGTTGCCGCTTCTTCCCCCCACCCCCCCACCCAATTGATCCTTGCCAGGCACCTCACATTCTGTCAGGTTGTGAACAGCGACAAAACTACTTATAACAATTTTGGTCTCAAGAAAATCTATTCTGCCCCTACAAGTACTAATTGAAACAAAATTAAGACATCCCACTATCAATCAAGAAATTCAAACACCACACAATTCAAATATATAGCAAGGCAACCCCACTTCTGGACCAATGTATTTAGTTTTGCTAGAATGGTTAGCAAAGCATCTGCAGCATTTGTGATCTTCCTCCCCCAGGGAACTCCAGCAAAATTATTTAGGAGAGCTGGGCTGCCATTATTTCATGAGATTTTTTTTTCACATATTACCTGTTGTGAACTGTGGCTTACACTGCGTCTCTTGTGTTGATAATGGAAAATTGGCAGAAGCAGGTGATGACTGAGCTCGAGAAAGTGGCCGATGTCCACTAAAGGATACTGGAATACCAGCAGCTTCCATGGATGCCTGGTAATTTCTGAGCTGATGAATGCGCTGCTGTTCCAATAAAAGAGTTTGCTATAAGGGAGCAAAAAATGTGTCATTGTCTGAAGAAATCTCTTATTTTTTGTTTGTGAACAATTACTTCATAATAGTCTACTAGCTATTTGTTTTATTAATTAATATGCCTATACATAAAGGTACTCATTGGTATATACCAATTTTAAAGCCATTTAAAAGTGTTTTGCGAGAGCCAGTTTGATATACGGTTAAGGCATCAAGCTAGAAACCAGGAGACAGTGAAATCAACAAAGCTTGAACCAGTGACTTTCTCCCAGCCATAAGAAGGCGGCAATGGCAAACCCTTCTGAAAAATCTCACCAAGAAAAGTGCAGTGACTTTGTCCAGGCACTCTGAAAATTGAACATGATTTTAAAAATTAAAAACATGAAGTTTCAATAAAGGAGAATATTTGTAGCTCAGGATTGAAATGATGGATCGTTGGTACTCTCTGAACTTGCTTGTTTTCTTGCAGACATTTCATTACCCAAACTAGGTAACATCATCATAATGTTACCCCCTAAATAGAGCACCAACGACCCCTTAAATAAATTTTTCATAGTAAAAGTTGATTGTTTGAAATTGGAGTTAAGAGATAATTCATCCTCAACTTTTCTAAAAGCAAATTGGGTACATCATCAATTTAGAATTCTAAACTATAAAATGTCCAACTGAAGGAATAAAGTAACTGACCCAAGAATTTAAATGTATTTAAATGATGGAATGAGCAATATTTTAACCATATCCAGGGTAACAAAGAAAGCAAAAGAAAAAAAGAAGAAAAAGGGCAAAGGAAAAATGGGTGAAAGACCAAAAGATTTCTAGATACATAATTAAATATAGAAAATGAAAAAAATATATGAATCCATGGGGTATATTGGGTTGAAGAAAATACAGGTAGTCCTCAACTTACAATTTTAATTGAGCCCAAAACTTCCGGTACTAAGCAAGACAGTTAAGTGTGTTTTGCTCCATTTTATGATCTATTTTGTCACAGTGCTACAGTTGTTAAATAAAACACTGCAGTTGTTAAGTTAGTAACATGGCTGTTAAGTGAATCTGTTTTTCCCTTTGACTTCGCTTGCCAGAATGTTGCAAAGGGTGACCACATGACTCCAGGATCACATCACAAGTAAATGCCAGCTGTCAAGAGTCTGAATTTTGATCATATGACTATAGGGATGCTGCAACAGTTGTTAAGTGTGAAAAACTGTCATAAGTCACTTTTTTTCAGTGCTGTTCTAATTTTGAATGGTCAGTAAATGAATGGTTGTAATTCAAGCACTACCTGTAGTTTAGAAGGAATATTGTCCAATTAGTTGATCATCGCTTACATTATTTTCTTGAGACATAAATTTGACACTGAAGTAATTCAGTAGTGCCAAGTTTACACCATACCTAATTAGGTATGAAGTTTTTATATTATAACAAAGTTTTTTCTGAACTAAAATGGAATTGTTAATAATTCACACTCATAAAAGTGTTTTTATCAGGGAAACCTGGTCTACCCAAATATGGGACGGAGTATATTGCTTCCACTTTACCTAATATGTAAGCAGTCAAGGTTCGAATCCCAGAAGGGTATGGCTAGCTGATGAGAGCTAAATAGCTTGAAATAGATCTATACTAGCCTCCCTTTATTTCTTTGCCATGTGAATATAAATTCACACACATCTTTTATTTTTCCTTAAAATTTGCTCAGTCTTAATCTCTTCAGAAAAAAAAACCCATGTTAACTGTTTCAAAGGATGAACAATACAACAAAGTACAAGAAGTCACTCTGCCTTAATAAACATTAAGAATGGTTTTGAATATAACGCACATTATGAAAAAGAACAAACCTGAAATTTATATTATTACGTTTTGCAACGAAAAATAAACTGTTATACTTATAGAGAACAATCATGTATTCATTTTGGAAGAGAAATCAAATTTCTACTTGATATGAAAAAGACAATGAAGAATAGAAAATGAAACATTTGAATGGTAGCCAAATGTGATCAACATTCTCACATCCATAATAGAAGCAGGAAATTAAATACATATCTTCTGAACTGAAATTATCAAGAATTGGCATAACCTTGTATTAGTCCTACCATAGTTCTAAAGAGTCTATATTCTTGAACCCTAATTCTTGGCATTAAAATGTTATGTAATTATGTTCTATAGTTAACTCACTTAATACTCAGGAATTTGAGACTTCTGTTCTATAGGTTTTTAAGTAAAAGCAAATAGGTTGGGTTTGCACAAAATTCAATGTTAGAATAAAAGAGCCACATTCTGGTATACTGTGTTATGTAAACCCAGATGTTCTTTCTATATAGAATGACAGAATAATAAATATATAAGCCTCTAGAAACTATACACTAATAAATGCTGTTATTTAGTGTATTCTACCTGTCTGAAGAGCAATTCCTGTTCTGCTTGCCTTTGTCCTGCTTCCAATTCTTCTTGTTCTCCATCGTCATCATTTTCAGCAGGTTCTTGCTTCACATGGACCACTTGGGTCAATCTTTGAATTTCCTTTTGATTTGCTGTGCTGTCAATATATTGGTCTTCCACAAATGTCTGATGTTCTCTTAATTCTTCTTCAGTCTCTTCTGGGTGGCTTTCATGCTGACGGGAAGCTTCATTTGATTTTGGCAACATCTGAATGAAACTCATAGCGTCAGAACATATCTCCATTGAAAAGACTATGAAAAACTATGAATGAATGAAATCCTTTTTTAAAAATGTAACAATTCAAATTTTATGATTCACTTGATTTAATTTGGAAGTTTAAAATTTCTAAGCCATATACATGATAGGTTATTTTTAAAGATGGAAGCACAGCTAATATATTAATGTTGTATTAGATTAACAATGAGGCTGTATTTATGAATAAAGCCAAGTTAACAAATACTTACTAAAAGTGAATACTAAATATGAAAAAAAACACTTTACTCATTATAACCTTAAATGTTTTTCACTTTTGATCATAACAAAAACTTGATGATCATTTTAAGATTCAAAATAATTTTCAGTACAACAAATTACAGTACTACAATTTTCTCACAACAAAACTCAAACCAAATCTAAATATAGAAAATCTCCAGATTATGAGCGTTCCTTTAGTGAATGGTTGAAGTTACACAATAAACACCTTCTACTGTTTACAAACAAGTCCCGAAACTACAAATCATGTAGCACCATGGAAGCTGTTCCCCCTTATGAACAACTGCAGAGGCTCTGCAACATTCGTCCTGTACTTTGCCAGCCAAAACAGAGCATCGGAGCGGTAGGCTGTGGTGGGTATTGGAGGGGCGGCCCCGCCACTCTGAAGCTCCATTTTGGCTGGCAAAGTGCTGGGTGAGGCCTGCACAAACCTAAACGGAGCGTTGGGGCGAGCCCACACCTCCAAAACTACATTTTGGCTGACAAAATGCTGGGCAAGGCCTGCGCAGGCAAAAACGTAGTGTCGGAGGGACGGGCCTGGCCTTCCGCCCCACTGTTTTGGCATACAAAGTGCTAGGCGAGGCATGTGCACAGCAAAGCAAAGCTATAGAGGGGTACATGCAGCTGAGAGGCTGGAGAGGAGACAGCTTGCTAGATCTTTTCATGGTGACTCGGCAGGGCAGGTTGGATGTGGGGAAAAGCAATTGCAGGGAGCATGAGGTATTTCTGTGGGTCGGGGAGACCTTGGGTGGTCTTAGTCTGTTCCATCACTATGCTCCTCCAACACCTTGCCCAGTCTGAAATATTCATGTGCACTTAATAAACTGCGCATCTGATTAGCGAATGCGTGGGCAAAAGGAGGGAGTGATCCTGTTCAAGGTATGAGATTCACTCCCCCAAATCCTTAGGTTATGAATGGAATGGGCAGGTTCAATTACATTCGTAACTCAAGGACTACCTGTATTTTCCTAGATTTTGGCAGTAGCAATGTTTGTTATTTAAAACACGCTACTTACCTTAAAAACCTCAAGGTCGCTGTGGTAGTCTCAAAAGTTTGAGGACATAGTAACAAATAAATTATCTTAAGCAAGGATTCTCAAACTTTTATGAATTAATGACATTCTAAAATGCCCCTTTCCTTTGTCTTAAGCATTTGGTCAGAGAGAAAGAACTTTGCATGGAAGACTCATAATCTCCAGGTATGATTACTACTTGGAAAGATAAACACAAAATGGTCTAAAAACCAAGTATTGTGAAGGGCTATGGACTCTCAAGTTGCTTTGCATTCTGGTCTCAAAGATGCTTTTTGAAGAGGTAACTGGACTTTCTAGTTTTTCTTTTTAACTTTTTATTTTATTTGTACAAACTTCACATCTTTGCAACACATTCCATTTTTTTTACATATCTGTTGTGATTCTTTTATCTATTCAAAAATTGTTTATAGCTATAACTTTATATATATATATGCATTTACATTATTTTATACATTTTTTTCATTCTATATATAGCCTTTACTACATTTGAGTCATTTTGTACAATATTTATTTGCTACAGTCTTTCTCGTATTTCTATCTTTTAATCATTTTCCAGTTTTGTAGTTGTTTATTAATTTGTTGATCTTTCTTTCTTCCTTTTTTTTTTTTTTTTTTTTGNTATTATTTGAAGATGTAGATGTTAAAACAACCGTAACCAAACGACATGCTGCATGTGATGATGGCTTTTTCCCCGCCCCCCTTTTTTGGACTTTTTTTTGTCCTTTTTTGCCTCTCCCCACACCACCCACCCCCCCTCTTGTCTTTTCCCTTTTTTTTCTTTTTTCTTTTTTAAACCCTAGCTTATTGTGGTGTTTATTAAATATACAACAGAGAGATACGGGATGTATATGCACCTGTGATCAAACGGCATATTGTATGTGAAGATGGGTTTCCCCTCCCCTCCCTTTTTTTTCTCTTTTTTCCCCCCATCTTTTCCCTTTCCCATTGTTGTCTGTGTAATAATAATAATAATAAAAAAATAAGGACTACAATCTTGCTCTCTCTATGGCCAGAACATCAGAGATTAGAATCCAGGAAAAGCTCCCTTAGTCAATGGGAGACTTTGAGCAATTTCAGTTCAGAAATTGGAAAGTTATAAAGGACCAACACTGGGTGGCACCAACAGAGGAGCTGGCATCGGAGTCTGGCGAAAGCTGGGCAGTGTGGAAACCATTGAATAAACTCTGCATGGGTACAAGATCCAGAGACCCTCTGAACAAATGGGCCTATGCAGTGGCTTCTGTTCTTTGTGATTGTGGTGACTTGCAGACAACCACACATGTGTATACCCACGCTTTGTGTCCTGATCAGTGTACACTTAAGAACCTCATGGCAGTGCAACAGAACACCATTAATGTTGCTAGTTTCTGGATCGGTTTAACTTGTACCAATTTTCATCTGATATTTTATATTTTAATTTTTATGTCATATAGTATACCTTATTTTAATTGTGATGCTTCTGACACAAACAAACAAACAAACACGAGCCACGGTGGTGCAGTGGTTAGAGTGCAGTACTGCAGGCTTCCTCTGCTGACTGCCTGCAATTTGGCAGTTCAAATCTCACCAGGAAAGCACTGTAGCAATAGCAATAGCACTTAGACTTATATAGCGCTTTACAGTCCTCTCTAAGTGGTTTACAGAGTCAGCCTCTTGCCCCCAACAATCTGGGTCCTCATTTGACCCACCTCCGAAGGATGGAAGGCTGCATCAACCTTGAACCTGATGAGAACTGAACTGCCAAATTGCAGGCAGCCAGCAGTCAGCAAAAGTAGCCTGCAGTACTGCACTCTAACCATTGCACCACCATGGCTCTTAAAGTGGTGTATGTGTAAGTGCTTTTGCTATTGCTATCTTGCTCATTAATCCATTTTAAAAATGTTTATTTATTTAGCAAATGTATATGTCAGAAATGCCCTCCTGAGCTGTCAGCCTTGCTCTGATAGATGCCAGCCTGCCATTGACCATGGGGAGAGGGAACTGCTGGAAAGGGCAACACCCAAACTACTCATTGTGCCTTTCTGAGACATAGGCTCATGGTCCCAAGGCCAGAGACCTGGGAGGGGAATATAATGGCTCACCGTCTAGCCCGCCAATGCAGGGACTGTTACCAAAATAATTCCTTTGAATGTAACTGGTCTATAGGGAGATAAAAGAGGGTGCAGAATAGGAAAAGCAAAGTTAAGTGAGGAACCTTCATGTGCAAAACTTTAGTTCTGGCTTTGCTGTACTGAACCTCTTGGTGTCAGCATTCCAAATACCATGCAGAATTAAATCAGAGTCGAAGGCAAAACTATGCTTAAAGTTCCAATTTAATAAGACAGGCATGTTGGCATCGTGCTGTGGGATTCCAACTCTGGAAGTTACATCGGAATCCCACCCAGTTAAAAGTCACCCCACACCCACAGTCCATCACATGGTCCAATCTTCTTCTTCTTCCACGCTGGCATCTCCACCCAGCTTCTTCCGGTCAGGTGTATACTGGTGCGGAGACAAAGGAT